ACTAAAGTTGGTCTGTGTCATCACACCAACAGTGTGCTTAAGATAAAGTATGCCCTAGTGGTGAGACATGTAATATAATGGTAGGCTCGGAGGGGATGCTGATTCAGGGTGAGGTGTGGACGAGGTGACTGTTAGCTTTTCTTGGTGTCGGGGTGGTGGACGTTTCAGTCCGTGGACGTGCCCTGGTGCCCCGGGCTGCCGGACAGGATGGAGCGGCGGGGAGCTGGGTTTGGAGAGCGTCGGGGATGGAACGGAGGGGGTGCGGAAGGAGGGTGAGCATCTTCGCTGCGAGGGCCGAACGACGCTGCTTGCAGCTTTAATTCTTTCTTTTTTTGTTATTCCGTGCCCCCTTTGAATGGCTTTTTGGGGACCTTAACATACCCCAAAACTCACAATATTTTGCAAACTTGTCAGGCCTGGTGAAAAATTTGATATTTGAAAGGTCCCAAAAAAATCGCAAAGAAAATGGCTGAACAGCGCCCCCTACAATGTGAAAAAAACCCCTCTCCATAAAGCTTAGTTTATCGTACAGTTATGAAATTTGGTACACTTGTAGTACTCAACAGTCCGCACAGAAAAGTCTCTTGCAAGCATGGTCAATATCAAACAGGAAGTCGGCCATTTTGGGTTGAAATGGCGATTTTTGGCCGTTTTTGCCGTTTTTAGGGTCCGTTTCTGATTGGATTGCTCGATCATTTTTCATACGATCGTCTCAAAAATGGTATAAAATTGCTCAGAAGAAATGGCCGAACAAAATGAGACAAGGATTCTGAGTTTTCGTATATGTTGAAGGGGCGGGGCCAGGCCTCGAAGTTTGACTACTCGCCAAAAAAATTAAAACTGCTATAACTTCATAATTGAATGGAATAGAGTTACCAAACTTTCTGTGGTCATTCGTCATCTACCCAGAAAGTAAAATGAATGGTCGGATGATGACATCACACAAGCCCCGCCCCCTCAGGACCTAAAAGGTCAAGTTTTACTATGAAAGGTCCCAAATGGCCCCATTTCACTCAATCCCCACAAATTTGTAGCTGTTAACTCAAGACAAGTGAGGGTTGCTTGGCGTCACTTTATGGGAGTTTTCGACAGAGGGCGGGGCTGTGGCAGCGCGGCGAAGTCAGGCGTACCGCCGTGGCCTTACGTTTGCCTCCCATTTCGTCATTTCTAAAAATATCGTCACGAAACTTCTTGTGAGTGATCCTAGTCCGGCCCCCCAAAAGATCTGATGTGAACATCCGGTGGGCGTGGCCTATTTTCTGAAATAGCGCCCCCTAGGACCATTAAAACTGTCAGCCCCAAGCCATGCTTTGACTGAGGATTACGAAATTTGGTACACTAATGTGGTGTCTCAGGACCTACAAAAAAGTCTCTTGGACCCAAGTGCAAAGTCGTACAGGAAGTCGGCCATTTTGGTCCAAGTACGCGATTTAGTGGTTTTCGCACACGTTGTTTGGAGAGTGATGCTCCGTCGTCCTTTTCACCAATCTCCTTCAAACTTCTGCCATATGCTCTTAAGTCATAGGGGAAAAAATTCAACCGTCGGATTTTTCAAAAGTTGAAAGGTGTGGGCGTGGCTAAGCCTCAAACTTTGACCTGTCGCCACGCCACTCTTTTTTTCACAGCTCCCTACTGGACTCCTTTTACCCAATCACCAGGATTCTGTGGCAAACAGCAGTAGACAAGTTGAGGTTACTTGGTCTCCAGTACTGGCAGGTTTCGAAAAAAGGCGGGGCTTTGGGAGCATGGCGAAAATCGCCATCACGCCATGGAAATACGTTTGCCTCTCATTTCTTCAGTTATCGTGATATCGCTACGAAACTTCTGGTGAGTGATCCTAGTCTGAGCCCCAAGAGAAATAAAAAGCTGAAGTTTGTGGGCGTGGCCTATTTTCTGAAACAGCGCCCCCTAGAGCCATAAAAACTGTCAGCCCCAAGCCATGCTTTGACTGAGGATTACGAAATTTGGTACACTAATGTGGTGTCTCAGGACCTAAAAAAAAGTCTCTTGGAGCCAGGCAAAAACTCTCACAGGAAGTCGGCCATTTTGGTCCAAGTACTCGAATTAGTGGTTTTCGCACACGTTGTTTGGAGAGTGATGCTCCGTCCCCCTTTTCACCAATCACCTTCAAACTTCTGCTATATACTCTTAAGACATGGGGGGGAAAATTCAACCGTCGGATTTTTCAAAAGTTGAAAGGTGTGGGCGTGGCTAAGCCTCAAACTTTGACCTTTCGCCACACCACTCTTATTTTCACAGCTTCCTATTGGACTCCTTTTACCCAATCACCAATAATCTCTGGCAAATAGCAGTAGACAACTTGAGGTCACTTGGTATCCAGTACTGGCAGGTTTCGAGTAAAGGCGGGGCTTTGGCAGCATGGCGAAAATCACCATCACATCATGGAAATACGTTTGCCTCTCATTTCTTCAGTTATTGTGATAGCGCTACGAAACTTCTTTTAAGTGATCCTTGTCTGACCCCCAGGAGACAAACATAGCTGAAATTTGTGGGCGTGGCCTATTTTCTTAAATAGCGCCCCCTAGGACCATTTAAACTAATAGCCCCAAGCCATGCTTTGACTGAAGATTACGAAATTTGGTACACTAATGTGGGGTCTCAGGTCCTACAAAAAAGTCTCTTGGAGCCAAGCGTAAAGTCGCACAGGAAGTCGGCCATTTTGGTCCAAGTACGCGATTTAGTGGTTTTCGCACACGTTGTTTGGAGAGTGATGCTCCGTCGCCCTTTTCACCAATCACTTTCAAACTTCTACTATATACTCTTAAGACGTAGGGGAAAAAATTCAACCGTCGCATTTTTCAAAAGTTGAAAGGTGTGGGCGTGGCTAAGCCTCAAACTTTGACCTTTCGCCATTACATTACTTGACTTAATAACTCCCATGTGCAAGATCGGATCTTTTTCAAACTTTGTCTGTGTGATCATTGACCATATCTGTAAAAAATGACAATGTGGACAGCTGACATCACCTAAGCCCCGCCCCCTGACTACAGGAAGTCTATTTTTTTATGCTGAAATGCCCATATTTGTCCCCTCTAATTTAGTCAACATGACACCAAGGTCATGCACTGTCTTCATGATAATGTATTGACCATTCAGATCTGATAGCTTTCCAGAAAGGGAGGGGCTTTGATGCCATGGCGAATTCTGGCGTAACGCCGCAACCTTACAATTCAATTTAATGGTGAGCTCAGAGGGGATGCTGAGTAAGGGTGAGGTGCGGACTAGGAGGCCATTTGCGGTTTCTAGTGTCGGGGTGGTTGACGTTTCTGTTCTGCCAGACGTGCCCTGGTGCCCCGGGCTGTCAGCCAGGCCGGAGCGGCGCGGAGCTGCGAGGGCCGAACGACGCTGCTTGCAGCTTTAATTTATGTTATTTCTGAGTAAGAGATGAGAAACCTGCCTCGTTGTGATGTTTAGATCTATGAAAACATTTAAATGCCGAGTTGATTCTCTTTTTGAACTTGTCCTTCATATTTATGGTAAAAGCCCATCATTATCTGGGGAAAGCCCTGATAATGTTTGATATTTCTCACAGTTTCGATTTGGCTTTTTTTTTCTCAATTTGACTGCGTTTCCTTCAGGGGTACAACTGCCCTCCCTGAGACTTAATGACTCCTGACTTGTAAGGATGTAGGTTGTGTTGAGATTCTTGAGCATGCCTTCTCTGCTGCGTGAGACAAGGGTGCTTCTGTGTACTGTGATATTGAGCTGAAAAATGCCCTTTGATATGGTACAGCAGCTGTCGCAACCCATTCAGCTGCCTACTGGTCAAGGTGCCTTGACTGACACCCCTTCCCCCATGATGCTGATGGCATTTACGTATCTTGAGTTGCTCTTCCCTGCTTCCTGCTCCTTTATGCCCTGTGGGCTTTTGATCACGGTGCATGCAAAATAAAAACGACTTTTCAGAATCAGCCAGATGAATTGAGGTCAGAGGGAAATGATTCATCTCCCCCTGACCTATCCACTGGGGTAAAATGGAGACACTCATATTGACCTAGGATGACTGTTTTCACAAGAAAAATAAAACAAAAGATCAAGTTAGTCCAATTTTTTTGTGCCTTCAAATTGCTGGGGACCTCACTGTAAACATACACAAAACGTTTGGTTGACATTGAGCGGTAAAGGTGTTTTACGTGACTGATGTTATTTAGAAGCAATGATTTAAGAGAGGTGACTCCAGGTAAACAAGTCAATACATTCATCATTCATGGGCCAAAAATTGGAGGAAGAAAAAAAGACATCTAGAAACTATGAATTCAGCAGAAAATCTAAAATCGGCTGTACGGGGATTAAGTCTTTCATTTATTTAAATCTGACACAGCCTCAGAAAGGCTAGCCCTCAAGCATCAAAACATACATTTATAAAACAGCATTACAAGGCATTATGGCAGAAACGCTGTCTGACATTTTAACAGTGCAAACAAGGCCTGAAAGGTTAGCGCTTGTGCCGGTGAATGTCAATAAACATTACGTGCTCACTCAGATATGAGGACATTTAGTCCTTACAATACAAAAGGCAGTGGAGAATGCACAAGGTGGCCTGTGGTTTCATGTCTGCTGTGCCGGGGACACATTTCTGATGCCTTAAAATAAGCTCCACCCAAGGAAATGTAGCAATACATGTTGTCAGACACAATTTGGGCTTTGAAGATCCTCTTGTATGATGTAGTAAATAATTCTATATCAGGTTTATTCTCTGCTGTCCACAGCATTTATCCACATAGCCTTGTTAATTGCAAAGGACTGGCTGTACACCGCACAGAGGGGAAATCAGGGGGACAGGACCTGGCAATATATGGTTTAAGCAATGGCCAATTGACTTTGCAGACTGCTGTCTTGCTGGAGGCGACTTTGTAATTGCAGGCTGAATTAATTGGAGCACCCTCTGTGATGGGATCATCTTTTCAAGGTAGCCAGGAGTAGCTGTTGCCCCTGGTCTGGAGGTTCAATGAAACCACCCACCTTCAGTTTGAGCTTACCTTAAACATTAAATCCTTTTTCCCGTACCGCAGTTCTTTCAGTTGAGCCTGGATTTTTTTGGACTGCAAGGGAAAGATAAGAAAATAAGTGTTAGCTTATTCAAATAGCAAAATTGGTTTTAGATCATGTAGCAGGATTCTGCCAGCGGCAGCAGAGGACTCCTTTGTGAGTGTTCCCTGGGCAAAGCTTGGGCTTTACAGAAGGTCCTACTGAGAGGAATAAAATATCAAATCTACCCTTCACTGAACTGCATAGTCCACACAATGACGCAGTCTTGCACTGGCTTCCTGCCTACTGTCAAAGCCTGAAATTTTTTACTCCCACAACACACGCTACAGCTGCCATCACCACACATGTGCAGGTTTTCAAACGGCTTCTGGCTCAGGATCCTTGTCTGTTTGCGGCACACACAACACGTCGCTTCTTTGCTGCCAAACTTATCCCCAACACACACAGTGACCAGCGCTGCCTGGTCCTGCTGCTCCACATCAGCGCACACATCAAACTCAGAGGCTGTCTCCTCAATAGCGTGATAAGCGACTATTCTCAAAGCTGCTAATGACGTGAGCATAAACACTGTAAGCATCCACACGAAGCCCAGCAGCGTTTCAGAGGATCTTTTTGTGTTCTAAGTGAGGCTGCAAGATGCTTCTTTTTTGGAGTTTCTGGAGTACATGCATGGAAATGCTTTGCAAGACAAGAGCTGGAGGCGATGCATAAAAAATGCAGCTTCGATTCAACATGAATGCAAAATAACGTAGAAAAAAATGATCCACAGATTTTTTTTTAAATCAACTCATCAAAGCTGTGTCTCTTTTTCTCTATTTATTATTGGTTGTCAAATGCAACTTGAGGTTTAGTCGTAGATATGAGGTGCAGATAATGTCGTACATGATGGGTATTTGCATTTAAATAAAAACATCTGACTATATTGAGGCTTCAGAGTTGGTAACTTGCTTTTTAACTCCAAATAAATAAGTAGAATCACTACAGCGCCTTGTTCTGCCAGATGAGTCAAATGCTGCATGGGTGAGACATTCAAACTGTTAAGAAAAGCACACAAAATACTGTGGTAGAGTTTTACAAGCCTATTGTATTTTCCCATCTCCCCCAAACTTTACTTTCTCATGTTTTCTTAGGACTTGTGAAATGTGTCACTGTGAGTCATCGTCCTTGTGAGGAGGCTGACAGATCTGTTACATTTCAGCAGTGTGTTCCAAGGACAGACACAAGCTCAACACAGTATGTCTCTGACAATTATTCCTGAAACATTTAGTATTTGTTTACAGTTAATAACAAGCTCTCAATGGTAAAGATCATTCTTTTTCAGCAGGAAGAGAACAGTCAGTTTCTCAAAGCTAGAAATGGTTTAAAGCAAAACTATTTAATCCTGGTCCTCTGGGGCCACTCCCATGATGCTTTCTGTTTCCCTGCACCAGCACACCTGGTTTAAATCTGGTTTACCTAGGTAAATAAAATACTTCTGAAGAACTTGAGGAACTGCTGAAGAAATGAATCAATCATTGTGTTGGAGCAGGGAAACGGCTAAAACATGCTTGCAGTAGGCTCTCCAGGACCAGAACTGAAAAGCTCTGGATTAATATGTGTTACGGATGTTGAAGGCTGCATATCTTAGTGATGGTTTGCAAAACATTACGGCCCGTGTTTACTTTCATTTTCAATACATTTGCTGGCTGAAGCTCGGCCGTAACTCCTCGCATGATCATGACACCTCCCTCTGTTGCACCAAGGAGCAATCGCTGTTTATAAGACCGATAATTATAGTAATTTTACTACCAAGTGAGGCAGAACAAAAGTCGCAAAACTTGCACATTGCCATGCTGGCATGGGGCATTTATAAGACACCGCTGCGGGAATATTACGCTGACTTGCCGACATGGTGTGTCTTGTTAAAAGGGTTTATGTCACCTACTAATGACCACCAATTCCAGCTCACTGAGACACCATTCAAACATGTTGCACAGAAGCTGGCGCCCCCTCATTTCCTCTTTAAAGATCACATGTTGGACATCAGAAACATTAAAGTTGAAATGACTGGCAGTTTGCACAACCAAGTTGAATTAGAAGAGTTCAGCTGAAGGCGTGCTTTATTTATTGCAAAAAATGTTGGCTTTTTTCTCATTTTCCGTACACTTTTTAAGTTATTTATCTTAGTCAACAGACTTGATGGGGTCAGCTCAAATAAAACATGCAACATAAGCTAGCATCCAAGCTTCTAAACTGACAAAGAAAAGTGGATCACAGAGGGATGACGCACTCAGAGGCAGTGAAAACAGGCAAACTCAACTCAGAGCTGTCTTTAATTAGATAATGTTTGAGCTACCATCTAAAAAAACAATGTTAGGTATTAGTTCATTTCTGATATGGCCTTACCTTTTCCCCCAAACAACAATAAAACTATAATTTTGGGGCATGTTCTTAACAGAACGTGACAGCAAACCGAATGCCCTCCATAAATCCAAAACACCCCTGAGCAAAAGGCCTCAGGGGTCTCATTTATCAAACATTGCGTAGAATCCTTACTAAAACCGTACTTAAGCTCAGCAAAAAAATGTACTTTCGCCAAGTAGATTAGTGATCTATCAAACATGGAATACACACAGCTGCACGCAATCTCCGCTTCATAAATCGGAGGCTAACGAGAATGTTTCTCAGCTGCATTTTAGTCCCATCCCGCCCTCACCACACCCACTTACTGCCATAAATAGTCAATGCAAAGTGCCTTGTGGATCTCATGCATATACATAAGCCGGCTGCTGCAGCGCTCTGCCAATGACATGGCGACCGTAGATCAAGGCAGATCAAGGAAGCGTAATTTCACAAAAGCAGAAATTGAGGTACTTGTGGGTGAGGTGGAAAAATGAAAGGAAGTGCTTTTGCAAAACAAATAAGAGAAAATCCATGGAGTGGCACAGCGTTGCTGAAGCCGTCAATGTTGTGAATTCTTCAGAGAGATCTGTGGCGGATATTAAAAAAAAAGATCCAATCATGATTTGATCCCCAGACTCCTGGGTGAAAGTCACGCATGCTAACCAGTCACCCAAACGGAGATCTCCCCTAGTAGCCAGGGCGCATGCTCAGTTGGGTCACAGTGACAGGACACACACTGTCACAGACGCATGACATTCTGTCTCAATCTGTCCCCCTGCTGATATTCTGCATTCTGTATTCTGCCCTTCAGGCTGTGTGTGTGTGTGTGTGTGTGTGTGTGTGTGTGTGTGTGTGTGTGTGTGTGTGTGTGTGTGTGTGTGTGTGTGTGTGTGTGTGTGTGTGCGTGTGCGCATGTGTGTGTACGCGAGCATGTGTGTGCCTGTGTGTGTGTGTGTGTATGTGTGTGTGTGGGGGGGGGGGGGGGTGGTGGTGGGGGGGGTGGTGGTGGGGTCTTGTTCTGTGTGAAAACGAAGCAGTACAAGTGATAATGCTGCAGGATTTCATAATTTTGTCCTTCTCAGCAGCAGCACTGCAGGTGCTCTCCATGTCCAAAATGTGCATCAGCAAGGTCCTTAGTCAACTTAAAGTTGTGCACATTTTTCCGCTACGTTTTCATTCATAAATCCCAAAGTTTGCGTCAAAAGTTGTTTTTGCAGTTTTCCAACCCCATTTTGTGTGTAAGCAAGCTTGATAAATGAGGTCCCAGATCCTTAACACACCTCCTCCATTCAGCTGATGTCTCATCTTTAAAAACATCTTGGCTGTTTGTTTTCTTTGTCAACAGTAGCACTCCAAAAAGATCCAACTTTTTTTCAAACAAAAAAAAAAGAAGAAATAAAATTAATTTCCAAAGCTCGTCCTCCCAAAAGCATTGTGGATCTTCTACATGTATTTGAGTAAACTCCAGCCAGCCTTTTTCATGCCTCTGTTCCAAAAGTGGGGTCTTGCTGTCTCTTATTCCTTGGAGCCCCCTTTCATTCAGAGAGCACACTGGCAATGTTCTTCCTTGATCTTGGAGTTGAGCTGGAATCTTGAAAAGAGGGTGTTGCTTGTGTGTTTTTCTTCCCACATTTTAAAATTATCCCCTTTACTTTTGAGGGTGGGGCTGTTCTCCCACAGACTCATGCTCTATTTCATATGTGCTCATATGTGCTATGGGTCTTTCTTTGAATTAAACATGTGATTAGTTAATGCAGAGAATAACCCAGGGGTGGATAACTCCTGTCCTTGAGGGCTGGTATCCTGCAACCTTTTGTTGTTTCCCAGCAACACAGTTGATTCCCCTGTTCAGCAGCTCACCAAGATCTGCAGAAGCTGGTTAATCACCCTCTGATGGAAATCAGGTGTGTTAAAGTAACAGTGTGTAGTTTCCCTGCCTATAGGGGGCAGTGCATACCTAAATCATTGCAAGCAAGGATATTTTTTGTGCTCAAGTAAGACCTTGCCAACAGGTGGCCATTAGGGTCAAAAATCCTTGGGAGTAAACCTCCAGCAAAATAATAAGAACATCAGATTCCCTTTCATCACTGGCAACGAGTGAAGAGGTAAATGTGTAAAACAGCAACCTTTGTTAATATTGAAAGTTTTGTAGTGATTTGTTACAAATCAGTAAATGCATTCTGTCCTCACGGTCTTCCATATAAGGAAACATGGCATCCCATAGGGCGTCACCCAGAGACTTAGACCCACTCCCATGTATTTTAGACCCGATTTTATGTTTAGATGTTATGAAACCGCCAATATTATTCAACAACTGGGTATCTTTTAATTCATTTACAGCAACATTGCAATGGATATTTCTAGAGATTAATGGTGAAAACTACACATTGTCACTTTAAATTTGGGAAAACACAAACATGTAGGATAGCGGCCCTCGAGGACTAGGATTGCCCACGCCTGGAATAACCCATAGCGATTGGCCTTAAAGGGTTACGCCTATACTCGTAGAATTTGGGGTTACACTATATAACCCTTGATCTTCAGTGGTGTTAACACTGATTGTGAATGGTTGTTTGTTCTCTTTTTGTGAATTATACTTGGTTTCCAAATACAGACTATGAAAGTAACATCCATGTAAATTAAATAATGCAGATTTTTCCTAAATTTGTTT